CCTGATGATTATTTTGTTGTGTTGGTTGGAGATATGATCACCGAAGAAGCCCTACCAACATACCAGACAATGCTTAATACCTTAGATGGAGTTCGGGATGAGACTGGTGCAAGCCTTACTTCCTGGGCAGTATGGACCAGGGCCTGGACTGCCGAAGAGAATAGGCATGGTGACCTTCTTCATAAGTATCTTTATCTTTCGGGAAGAGTAGATATGAGACAAATCGAGAAGACAATTCAGTATCTTATTGGATCAGGAATGGTGAGATCTTTTTTTATTCTCTCTCTTCTTTTTTTCTTTCTTTCAATTTTGGTTATTTCTGAACAATAATATTTTTGGGATACTTTTTTGAGTCTACACTTAAGAATTTTGGCATTGTAGGAAAGCTTTTGAAATTATACTAATCATAAAGGATGCTAACTGCTGGACTAGGGTGCAATGTAATTGTTATCTTCTTTTTTCTCTTTTTCCTTTTTTTTTTTTTTTTCTTTTACATCATTCCCCTTGACTACAGATTAAGAAGCTTAAGACCTTTTAGCTGGTCATAAGTATGGGAAAGACAAGAACCAGTTATATAATGTTAAAAAGTACATCATGATCTTAAATTTTCTATGTCATTTCTGTTTCTGGAAGTCTCCCTTTATGATCATATCTCCATAATTCTAGTTACTCAGAGAACATCTGCATGTCAATTAGAGTGGAATTTCAGTCTAGTTTATGCCTGATTCACTGCTATATGACACACACTTGAAACATAGCTGCACCCTCTTCTCTCCTTATATATATATATTTTTTATGATTATGATTATGATTATGATTAGATTCTAGTTTTCAATTATCTGTTCGTTTTTAGGATCCTAAAACAGAAAACAATCCCTACCTTGGGTTCATATATACTTCATTTCAAGAGAGGGCAACATTCATCTCCCATGGGAACACAGCCAGGCAAGCCAAAGAGCACGGGGACCTGAAATTGGCTCAGATATGTGGTACCATTGCCTCGGATGAAAAACGCCATGAAACTGCCTATACAAAGATTGTGGAAAAGCTCTTTGAGATTGATCCAGATGGCACTGTCTTGGCTTTAGCTGACATGATGAAGAAAAAAATATCAATGCCAGCCCATTTGATGTACGATGGTCAAGATGATAATCTTTTTGAACATTTCTCGGCTGTTGCCCAGCGGCTTGAAGTGTATACTGCTAGGGATTATGCTGATATTTTGGAGTTTTTGGTTGGAAGATGGAACATAGAGAAGTTGACGGGTCTTTCTGGTGAGGGACGTAGAGCACAAGATTTCGTGTGTGGATTGCCGCCAAGAATTAGAAGGTTGGAGGAGAGGGCTCAGGGAAGGGCGAAGCAAGCATCCACTGTTCCATTCAGCTGGATTTTTGGTAGAGAAATAAAGGTATAAGTGCTGCTGCATGTGGTTAGCATTGGCCCCCATCTTATCTTGGCTCGTAGAGTAATAGATAGAATTTGCCAATCTACATTTTGGTCTTGTCATTATGATGCTCTCTTCTCTGTGTGAGATGGTTGGGAAGACTTTTGTAGATACTCTGTTTTCTTGTGTTGGTCTTGGGGCGAGTGAACTATAGTTGTTCGTACAAGTGTTTATGTTCAACCTAGAAACTAAAAAGAGTAAGTATCTTCCTTTTTCCTTTTAAAATGTGTTTCTGTAAGAGTACCTGCTGCTGCCAATGGTGAGCTTATCTAAAGTAATGGAAGGAATTATCCGTCAAAACATTTCTTTGTCAAGGAAGAATGCTTTTCCGGAAAGCAGACCCTTGTTTTATACTCTTTGCAAAATCAACTCATGCTATCTATTATTTGAGCTTTGTGATTTAGATACTCACTGCATATATTTGAAGTCCAGCATAATTGTTCTTGTTTGATTGCTTGCTTCATCTATTTCTTCGGCTAGTCGTAAAAGAGAATTCCAATTCTGACCCAATTATCACTACATATGTATGTGTGCGTTGCGTATCATCAATTTTAGGAACAAAACCCAACCCAAGAGAGAAGCATGCAAAAAGCAGTTGAAGATAAGCAGATCTAATCACAACTAGATTACCACAATTGAGTCAGTTTTTAAAGTGAGTCCCAGATAAGCGTATGTATGTGATTAATTGGAATATCATCGGTATCTCTCTCTATCAATCAAAATTCAAAATAGAGGCGCCGCCTAAAAGCTTAGACCGCCAAGATGTGATAGCTGCCACAACCCACCTATGAATATTGCACGCTTACCAGAGCAAACCATTATGGCCACAGAGAGAGGAGAAAGACTTATATGAAAACAGAGAGAGGAGAAAGACTTATATGAAACTAGGATAGCACTATTTTGCTATCTGAAGTCAATAACGTTATGATATGCATGATAACTTAATCAGTTCATAATTGTATATCATTTTGAACATTTCTAATGTATGATTTTGTTATGTTTTTGAGTTAAACTTGTGCTTTTAATCTCTTTTGTGTTTATCATTCAATTTATTGAGCTTAAGGTAGAATTGATGGCTTTGGATAGGAAAAGATGCAAAATGGTGCAAAAACGTGCATATTGAGTTAACAATTCATTTCAACCTTAATGCATTACTTTAACCTTAATGCATTACTTTAACCTTGGATTGTCCAAAATGACATGTGGTTGGAAATATGATAATCTGAACTTCAAGATGGATGGCTCGAAGTCATCAGTTGCTTAAGAGAAGCCTAATCCGTGAGTCCATGAAGTTCCTGGTCATGCTGACCTAAGGATGAACTGATTGTTGCTTAGTCATGATGAGCTATGCATGAGCTATGATTTCTGGTGAGATTTGATGGTGAAGACTAACAACCAAATAAGAAAAGAAACTGATTTTCAATTACATTTGTGTGTTAGGTAGGATTGGTGAAGTGGGTGTTGTAGGTGAAAGACATACTCAATTCAGATTTCTCACTTCCTTATCCCTATAAATACCACATCCATTCCACACCAAAGAAAAATAGACATCCTAGGATTCACACTCCCACAATTCATCCATCCTTCATTCCATCCTCCACACTCCCATTATTCCCCAAACACATTGAGAAATCACCCTCAAACACTCCAACAACCCCAAACACTTCGGCAATCAACCCAAAGCTTTAAACAACCCCAAATAACCAAAACTGTCCCAACAAGCCTCTCTTCCATTTCCCTACGTATTTCATCTTTCTAGATATGGTGTCCAATGCTTCTCTACATCTTATGCTTCTCCAAGAGCTTCACCACGAGAACTTCATAAAAAGGGTTTTCTACTCTTATTGCATTCGTTATGTTTTCTCATTTATATTTAAATTTCTTTCCTATTATGAGTAGCTAAATCTATAACTAGGGTTTCGATATAACCTAACATGAATATTTTGGTTTATAAATTTCAGGTTTCAAGTTTAATTCATGATTCATGTTCTTATTCATTATGCTTACTTGCCTATATGCTAATCGGAATGCCTAGCTACCATTCAGATTTGTGTATCTTGGTTGGAATTAAGAGTAAACACTATATGCCTTAATTCCAATTGAATTATGAATAGGAAGAGTATGTATGAACATTCGACAACAATGATTAGATACATGCTTGGTTGTTTAAAACATTCTTCTATGCTTAATGGGTTGCTAATGCTTAATTTAGGTTCGACAACAAGAATATAATTAGGGAATTAGGAATACAAGGCTAGGACTAGACACCATAGCTTAATCATACTTTAGCTAGAATCAATCTTTGAATCTGAATTAGACTTGTCACTTGAATTGTATTGTTATGGTAAATCGAATACCCTAGTCTCTAAATCTGTTTTGTGACACCCCGACCTAATTTTAGAGATTTATTTAATTCATTTAAACTATTTAATTATGAAATTACAATTTTGCCCTTGAGGTAGGGTCATTTTGGTCACTTTTTAATCTGGTAGAATTTTGAGGAATTGAATGAACTGTTGCGTAGACCTCGTCGATATGAGTCCATTAACACGCAGTGGGCTCAAATTGAAGTTTTAAGGAAGAAATTACGCTCAGCGGAAGTGTAGTGGCATAACTGTAAATATTTCAAAGTTGAATTTTTAAATAACTAGATAAGCTTTTCTCTCTCACTTCCTCACTCGCCCTCGACCCTCTCTCCTCCGTCTATACAGCCGGAACTTCCGGCATTGATTCCAGCTTCGTCCGACCACCATTTCCGACGAAATGACTTGCAAAATCTTCCTCTCCTCCTCCTCTACCTAACCCATCCAATTTCTTCGATCGAAAACCAGCGTATCGCCGGCGGGAGCACAAGAAAACTCTGATTTTCTTCAACATTTTTCGGTGTTGTTTCCGACTATTTCGACCACCATTTTGGTTGATCTAGGTATGTTTTCTCACCCCCTCACTGTGATCTAGTTGAGGGTTGGGTTGGTTATGATCGATTTCGAAGTTTTGAAGCTCAATCTAGAACCTAAGTTTTAACTGGTCTTTGGCTTGATTTTTCGGCAAGTTTCGGCCAATTTTTGGCTGTGGTCTAAGAACAAAAGTTGCTCCCCTAGTTGTCACAAACACATAGGTATAGGTATTGTCTGGTGTTTTGAGAATTTTCTAGTCGCTGAAATTTTCTCAAGACACTCACGCTCTGCCGGAGCGTGGGAGATTTTGTGGAGGCTCATTTTATCCTAAAATGTTCTCTATGTCATTTCGAGCACGACGGTATGCTCGGATTCAAATTTGGTTAGCGTTGGAAGGTCAAACAGATTTACGCATATCAGGCGATATCCGGGTTCGATATGTTGGGATCGTTGGATTGGCTCCATTTCCAGATATGTTAATCTAGGTACCTCTAGGATCGTGTATGAACTCACAGATCGAGAATCGAAGTCCTGGATACTCCAAATTAATGATTCAAAGATTTCTTAAAACAGTGACCATCCGATCAAGAGCGATTCGACTGCTTGATCGAGACCAAGCTCTCGAGATGTGTTAAATAGACTATGTTGGACTTATAGGAACGTTCGGATTGGAAATCGGAGGTTGTGGGCATCGCGGGCCCAAATGGTCAAATTCCACGATCATGGTCAAATTGACCGTCAGGTGGTGACGAGACTTCTAGAATGGGTTGAACTCATGGTTAAGGACAACTAGGAATCGTCATATAACAAATTGAGGTCGTGGGTCCTATGAGCCCAGTTGACTTAGATCGTGGGCTATGTCGGTTCGGTTGAGGCTATTTAGTAGTTGAAATTGTAATTGGAGGTTTGTTTTAAAATGGTATTATGCATACTGAGTTTTATTAAATGTTTATGAATTACTGCAATCGCTTTTAGTTTCCAAGTATAATATATTATGTTTAATTGTGTGGAGTTGGGAATGGCTTGGTTAACTGGGTTTTGGTGTGAATAAAGAATTAATTAAATGCCTAATTATAAAATATATGCTCGATAGCTTGAAATCAATGAATTATGGATACTAGATCTCTCAATAGTATGTGGTGCATATTTAAATGTAGTTGAAAATAGTTTTGAAAGATTATGTATGGTTAAATTCAATTAAGGAATATAGGGATTGATCTCGTTTTAAAAAGGGATTTTAGATTATCTATTTAAGAACTTATTTTTGGAAAGTTGAGAAAAGATTTGGAAATGGATTTGTGGAACGAAAGAATTTTAAGATAAGTTTCGGAAAATGGTTTTCAGACCCACCACAGGAGTATCCTCCCAGTTGCCTTTGGAACAGTTTAGTAATTTATAATAATGTCCCACGAGTCTCGGGGACGCCTAAATCGTGTGATGCGAGGATTTGCGTTTTCAGGTTGATTATATATTCCTTAGTTCTGCAAGGATATGTGTTCTCGCTGACCATGTGTCCCCCGAGTTCTATGAGGATATCCATTCTTGGGTTGACCACGTGTCCCCCAAGTTCTGCGATGAGGTAATATACATGGTACTTGGAATTGGTAGAACATAATTGGAATTGACAGAATATTAGTGGAATTGGCGGATTATGAACGGGGGTACGCCTAGGTAGAGAATATTTGAGTTTTGAGATGTTTTAAACTAAAAATTGATGATTGTATCTTGGTACTTATTGGTGAAAGGTTTAATACATGTTTTCCGATTTATGAGACAAAGATTATGAGTTTTCTAAGTTTTAAGGATTTTATATAATTCACAACTATTTTCGTAAGTGGCCGAAGTTAACCTAGGTGCAGCCGCCAAATAAACAGTTGAGTTATGCTTTAGAATTTGTGGCTATTTGTAAAGTAAGAAACAAATTCCTAGATTACGTTGGCATTGCCTTGATAAGGTTGAATTCGAGGCTGGTGGCCCATCTGGTAATTGAGTGTGTTAGCATTATGCATGTTGAAGTTGGGAAATATTAAACTATGATATGTATCGGTGAAAATAATTTGGTAAATGTTCGATTTTCAGGGGAGACTCTGCCGGTTTTCCGGTAGAAGTCAAATGACAGGACCCGACCCAAATTCCACTTTGGAATCTGAGCCGAACCCTGTGCGGGATCGACACCTGGTAGGTGCTGAGCACAAATGACCCTGTTGCCCTTTTTGTTAAAAATTTAACTTCCCTTAAGTCTTGACTTCTACCGAAAATTCGGCAGAGTCTTCCCTGTAAATCGAACATTCCCAAAAATTTACACCTGTCAACAAGCACTTAAATATATACACCAACTGCCAGTATACAAAAATAAGTACGTTCCAACAGTAAAACAAGTTCTAGAGCAACATTAGAGCAACCAAACAGATTAATTTACAAGGAAGGAAACAACTTGTTAACCAAGAATCCCTACATCAAACTGAGGGAGAGCGGGAAGCGGGAACTGCCCTGTGGTGGCTCTCGGATGCACGTCTACAGCCTGGGGGAGCAAAACATTAAAAAGGTGAGTGGACCCAAAAGCAAAGTTTAGAAAATACACAAGAAGATACTAACCCCACTGTAAAAACGGTTATGCAAAACTAAATCATTCTCTTCATTATATAGTACTGAAATCAATGCATTCATATATCTATATATATATACCAATCATACTCATGATCAATATTAATCCTTTAAAAGTACTGAAATCAGTTTAAAACTACCACCTAAGTGTACCCCTTTATTTCCGTCAATTCCTGATATCTGTCAATTCCTGATAGTCCGTCAATTCCTGATAACCATCAATTCCTGATATCCGTCAATTCCTCTCCCATCACCATTGGTGACACGTCCTCGCAGGTCTCAGTGACACAAAGTCAATCCGAGCCGCAACCTCGTAGGATTCAGGGGACCTTGGTCAACCTGATCCGCGTCCTCGCTCCACACGAGTCCGGGTACCATAGAACTTGTGGGGCAACTGTCAAGCATGCTGACTAAACCGAAGGCAACTGATAAAATCCGAAGGCAACCTGGATGTTCGTGGACATCATCATATCCGAAGGCAACATCTGTATATATGGGTACCTAAGGTGGCTTAGAAAATAATAATAATAATAATAAGCAAAGTTTTTGAAAGATCTTATAAATAACTGAATTTCTATTAAGGCTGGACTCTGCTGCCATTTATCTGATGTTTAACTAAAATTCTCTTTTCCTATATCTCTAAAGGATATTCCACTCGGCAGCATGCAAATCAAAATATTTAAAAGCATGTCTCACTTATAAAAAAACTATTCTTTGAATAAAACTTATCCAAGATCAAATACTGAAACTAAATTGCATAAATTCATTTATGAAAACAAAGAGTCCACTCACAGTTGGTCCGAGCTCGCTGGACCTTTGGAAGGTCCCTCTTGTGGGTCAACTGGTGTCCGAGTGCCTGATTCAAATACCATATTAAAATATATTAATAAAACTGCTCGGTATAAATATTTAAATAAAACCCTAACCCCCGGCTTCTAGAAGTGCGTGCATCAATTTAAAGTTATTCATATGCCCACATTACGTTCTTTTAATCCTAGGACACAAGTCCCGTGAGTCTGGTCTCGATCGAACGGTGGGATTGGTCACAATCGCACGATCAACGGTTCTTAGAGCCTTAACCCTAGGGTTCGCGATTTCGGAGTATCCGGGATACCGATTCACAATCCGTCGAACCCTCAACGATCCTAATATTGTCTAGATTAACATATTTGAAAATGATTATAATCCAACGGTTCAAAACTATTGAACTCGGATAACGCACAATATGTAAAAATCCGTTCGAGGCTCAAACGGCATCCAAATTGAAATCCGAGCATACCGTCGTGCTCGGGACGATGTGGAGAACATTCTAGGACAAAAACCCAGCCTTGGCACCCCGCCGACGCGCCGCCACACGCCGCCACCACCGGTGGGTGCATTGAGTAATTTTCCGGTGATTGGAAAACTCCAAACCGCTCCAAACCGCCGGCCAATAATCATACCTACAGATTAGGCACATCAAGGGGAGTAACTTTATACCTTGGCTCGACGATCAATTCCACCTCTAAAGCCCTCGAACGAAGCTTTCTGTCTCTTGAAAACCTAGAAAAATTTAGTTTCGAAATCAAAGAAATTGGAATGGATTCACGCTGGGTTTTCAAAGGATAACACAAAGGAAAGGTAGGAGAGTACTTTAGGTGCAATTACCTGACCTTTGGCGGCCAGAGATGACCGAAAAATACCCCGAAATTTACTGTTTGAAATAGCCCATTTTTGGGCTCACTTTGGCTTGGATTTTGGCTTTAATTTCCTTAGATTTGGGGCTGCAATTTGGTATAGATGTGTAGAGGAGAGAGAGACGAAGAGAAGAGATCCAAAATCGTGGCCGTAGGCGGCTGGAATCTTCATCGGAAGCCACGAAGGTCGTGGCTGGCCTGAACAGAGGAGAGAGAGAGATGGTTCTGCGTGAGAGGAGAGAGAGTGATCAGGTTTTTAAAAACTGGCTTTGCAAAAATTACGGTTCTGCCACTAGACTTCCTTTGATAATAACTTCTTCGTCACAACTCCGATTTGAGTCCATTCCGTGTCTACGGACTTGTTTCGTCGCGCTCTACGCAACAATGCAAGTGGAATGGTCAAATTCTTCTTCCGTCAAAAGTCAACTTTCCTTTAATAATTTAGTCCAAGGGCAAAATTGTCGTTTCCCTTTAATAAACTAATAGTTAAATATTAATTAAGGTTTGGGTTATTACATCAAACCCTTAAGTAGTTTTTGGACTAGGGCAAGAAGGAGTATTTTGGACAATTGTGCCGATATCTGCCAGGTGTTGGACACACACAGAGTTCGATGCAGATTCCAAAGTGGAATTTGAGTCGGGTTCTGTCATGTTTTCCAATCTTTGTTACACTTGTTTACTTGTTTTCGTTTGTAATTTCATTTTGTTCATTTGTTTTCACAATCATAAGTACTCTCACTTCAAATTCCAATTTCATTTTGCTTCTTTTGTTTCTAAACTCAATCTCATTTTAAAATCTATATTAGACTTAACTTCCTATTTTCTAGAATTCGGTAATCTAAGTACATAATTAATATGAACTTCTCAGTCTTCGTGGGTACGACCTCGTACTTATCTTGCTATACTACTAATTGACCCGTACAATTGCGAGTAAAACAACAATAACACTTTCAAATGACATAGTTTTACTGGTCGGGGATAGCAAAACAATGCTATCCACATTGCAACTAATAAGTTTTTCTCCAGAAAGGGGCTGGTTGTGCATGTGAGTTATTAGAGCACTTGTACCCATTTGGCATGGCAAAGGGCAAGGGCAAGGCAAGGGTTGTTACTGTTCACATGAATAGTGGCAGCTCTTGTAAAAGGTTGTGGTGTTTCCCTCCATTGCCATATCAACCACTATTCACATGAGATATGATGAGATGAATTTATATAGAGTTTTGGTGTGATAAGTGAAGAATACGAAATTTTTTTTTGCAGATTTTTTTATTTTTTATTTTTGATCGCTGACGTCAGCAAACCCAAACTAGAGCACAAGCTCGTTTAGCCTGGTTTCGTGGGCCCCAGAAGATGAATTTGGGGCTTGGGCCCCCTCCTGCCCTGGCAAGGGCAGCCTGCTGGAACTTCTCTTAAGTGACAACTTCGACCATTTCCTTGAATTGAAATGGAAGCCCATTGTAAGAACGCAAACAAGGCATCTTTTAAATAGAGTGTTACTATTTCCACCTTGTCCTATTTCCCTACCCACCTTATCTTCTCACCCACCATGTAAATTTGAAAAAACACAATCCTATTTTTTCACCCACCATTATTCCTAAAATACCCTTTAATTAATACATCCCTTCCTCTCTCTTCTCTTCTCTCTCTCATGCGCCACCACTTCGCCACCCTACCAACAATTTGAATCTACAAAGTATGAAAATTAATTGTCAATTGATGCATCTTATTTTCCATCTCCTAACAATCAAGTGGTTAATTAACAATTTCTAATATTCAAGAATAATTTTTTAGTTGAATCAGAAAACCCAAGGTGGAATTTTATTTAGTTGAATGATAAACATGGGAAAAAGAAATATAGGAGGTTGGCTAGTGGTGAGGAGCGGAGGAGTTGCCGCCGCTGCAATAGGGTGGGTAACTGATAGGTTTATCATTTTTCGGTTAATTTTTGGTTCAATTTTTATAAGACCTAACATTTTTAAATTGAGGTTTTGTTCAATTCTTCGCAGTACTGAATCGGAAGGTGGCGGTTGAGGCTTTGTTGGTGGGGTTTTTGTTCAATGAGATCGTGTTTGACATTAGGGAGCTGGGCCTACAATTAGGAAGGGTGAGGTTTATGTATGCACCACGAGCATGTAACCAAGCCGCCCATTTGGTGGCTTCTTTTGTGTCCAGAATGCTTGTTTAATTGTTTGGCTACAGATGCAAAAGTTCATATTTGGCTTTAATAAAAGCTTCTTTTTTCTTCATGGAAAAAAAAAGGTGAACAAGTGTCAAAACCTCAAATAAGAGACATAAGGGCTTAGAAGTCATTTTACATTTGTATTTAAAATTTTGAATATAAGGCGGGTCGGGAAATAAGACAGGATAGAAATAGCAGCACTCTTTAAATGTATTAAATTGCATACATGTGCTTAAGCTAAGTTTGCTAGAGAGGTTGTGCTCTAAGAGCATTTTCATCCATTTGCCATGGCAAAAGGCAATGAGGGCAAGGGTTGTTACTATTCACATGAATAATGTCTGCCATTGTAATTTTTTTTGTTGGGTTTCCACCTATTGCCATGGCAAAGGGCAATTACTATTTACAACAAATTAATTTTATTTTTTATACTTAAAAGGATAATTTTGATAAGATTTTTGGTTGCCATATGTCAATATGTATTATAAAATTCACATATCATATTTTGGATAAGATTTTCGGTTACCACATGTCCATATTTATTATAAAATTCACATCTTACATTTCAGATAAGATTTTCAATTGCCACGTGTCCATATTTATTATAAAATTCACATCTTACATTTCAGATAAGATTTTCAATTGCCACGTGTCCATATTTATTATAAAATTCACATATAAGATTTCAGATAGGATTTTCAGTTGCTACAATTGCGACACTTGTCATCTCTATCTTCTAAATCCCTCTATAAAACCACAGCCTCAACTCACACCAATCATCCATATCTTCTATATCCTTTCATTTCTTAGATTTGACAAAACACATTATACTTTCGATGTCATACACGATGAGGTTGTTGGAGAAGGCCGAGCGAGAAAATAAAGAAAGAATAGGCAAACGTGCTGAAGAAGAAAGAGAATGGGAAGCAGATAATGATCAAGTTATCGTGGTAGTGGGTATGCTCGATCAATCAGGCCAACACCACCATGGTTCACAACCCGGCTGTGGCCCAAACGTGGACAGACATAGACATTCTCGGGGTAAGAATCTCTTGGAAGATTACTTTATCCCAAATTGGTTGTACTTTAGCTTTCAAGGTCGATATAGAATGCATCCCCATTTGTTTAATAAAATCATGCATGATGTTTGTAATTACGAAGCATACTTCGTTCAGAAATACGATGCTACTAGGGTTTTAGATCTTTTTCTGGAGGAAAAACTTATAGTACGGATGCTGACATTTGGCGCATCTGCAGACCAATGGATGAGATTGCTAGGATGAGAAAATAAACTATCCTAAAGAGATTGGTTAGATTCTGTGATGCAATCAAAACTATATACACTAGGGATTACCTCTGCAAACTTATGCCTAGGGGCATCCAAAGGCTTATACAAAAAGCTAAGGCTCAAGGTTTCCTAAGTATGATTGGAAGTATCGACTGCATGCACTAGCAGTGGAAGATTTGCCTAACTGCATGACAAGGAGATTATAGGAATAAGAAGGGCAAAAAAATATCATTTTGGAAGCTGTTGAATCATTTGATACATGGGTTTAACATGCCTTTTTGGATGTTGCGGGATCTCAAAACAACTTTAACGTGCTTGGTCAATCCCCGGTGTTCAACGATGTGTTGAGAGGTCAATCCTCTCAGATCACATATGAAATCAACCATACCATTTACTTGGGTAGGTATTACCTAGCAGACGGAATTTACCCGAGGCAGAGGACATTCCTCAAAATAATTCTGCATCCCCAATCGGAGAAGGAAAATACTTTGCTACCTATCAAGATGGTTATAAGAAAGATGTGGAAATGTGTTTTGGTTTCCTTTAAGCTCGTTGGGCAATCGTAAGGGGGGCTACTCATATGTTTGATCAAGAGGTGCTTCGGAGCGTTATGATGACGTGCATCATCCTCCATAACATGATTGTGGAGGATGAGTATGATTATGCTGAACTAGAGATGTTCGAACCCAATCCCATGAATATGATATTCACATGAATTTATAAACATCCCGTGGGAGTAAATGGACAACCATGAGAGCACAAACCGTTGATTAGGAATGGTGGTTACAACAATCATATTATTGACCGTTATACGGAAATACAATCTTCTTATGTTCAAGAAAGACATCAAGTTGACTTGATGGAGCACTTATGGACGCTGAGAGACAATCACAGTCACTGAAGTCAAATTTAATGCTTAGTTTTAAATTATGCTTTCTTTGTGTTTTGTAATGAATTATGCTTTGTTATGTTTGTGTTTCGTAATAAATTATGCTTTATTTTGATGTATGCAATGTTTTAAACAAATAGCTATATTATTGAATGCTTTCTTTATTTAATAAAAAACAATCAATACAACTAATAAAGAAATGACAACTCTATCAATACAACCTAATGGTTTTCATCATTTAATCAATCCGTGTTGCTAGGTTCATTGTCATTGAAAAGCCTTCTTAACAGGACCCGACCAAATTTCACTTTGGAATCCAGGTCAAACCTCGTGCGTGTCCAACACTTAGCAAGTGCCGTGCACGAATGACCAAAATATCCTTTTTGCCGTGATTCACAAAATGAAAACACACTTAAGGGTTTAACTTCTGCCAGAAAACCGGCAGAGTCTCCCCAGAAAAACGGACAAAACTCAAAAATCTACATGCACAGCAAACTCTCAAGCGTTCAACAAATTCAACTTTACGAAACTGAACATAACATAACAAACCAAACAAAAACTTGTGGCTGCACCTAGGTTAGCCTAGGATGCCTACGTACCCTTATTGAGGGACCAAGCCAGACGTAGTTCTTTCTACCCTGAAACACAACTAAGATAGTACATAAATATTCAAAATGTAACCAACAAAGAAATTCTGGAATCATTCTTTATCTTAGTCTCCACAAGCTATATAATTGAATATCATGCCATTAACTCATATACCTAACTGTTCAATTAGTTTATCATTGTACATCCAAATACTTGCATAACCAAACATTTTACTTAAAAGCCATACATGCAATCATCTGCATGGTACATATATCTTGTAATCACTCAACAAGGGGTATATCGAAACACCATAAAATCCGAAGGCAATAGAGGAATGGGAAACAAGGTAACCACCTGTGTAAACAAGTCGGGCAGGTGGCTAGGGATCCTGGCCAACCTTGTGTAGATAATATGAGTAGGGTGAGGAATAATATATTGTTAACTATACTACACGTTGATACTGCACTAATCTCCACATAGATGTACCTCAAACATTATCTATCAATTCCAATAATATACCGTCAATTCCAAGTATTACACATGTGGCCACATGTGTGATACATCCTCACATAACTCGGGGGACACAAGGTCAGCCTGAGACGCATTTCTCGCCAAACTCAGGGGACCCATGGTTGGTCTGAGACGCATACCTTGCCAAACCTAGGGAAATCCAGTCAACCTGAGAACGCAAATCCTAGCACCACAAGGTTTGGGCATCCCCGCAACTCGTGGGCACATTGTCATACGCGTGTAGACAAATTCGTCAATTCTCGCAGAACTCAGGAAGACATACTCAACCTGAGAACGCAAATAATTCGTCAATTCCCTTCGCATGACTCAGGAAGATATACTCAACATGAGAACACAAAATAATCCAAAGACATTCTGAAGGCAACTTACTGGACGAAAACTAATGCCGGAATGGCCGGAAAATGCAAGAACACCGCTAGAAAAACCTAACCCTTTCTTAGCTTCGATTCAAGCTCACCGTCAACGAATCGGATCTGGTCTTGGGTGGTTTTTTAGGGGAGGAAGAGAGGAACATTTTTCGTGAAGCAGGCATGGCCAACCGGTGCACGACGATGTTTATTGATAGCCGGGAAGTCGAACAATCACTGTTTGCTATAGTGACTGTTGCGAATGGACAGAGGAAGAAGAAGTGTCGGGGGAGGGGGGACAGAAAGAAGAAGGAGAAAAAAATAAAAAAAGCCCCGGTTATTGTAGCGGGTATTGTAGTAGTAACAAATTTAAAATTCCCTTTACGTCCTTTTCGTTTTTAGACCTTTCGTCCTTTGTTACAACTCAGAATTGGGCGTGCCACATGTCTACGAACTCTTATCGTCGAGCTCTACGCAAGGTGCTGCTCAATTCCCCAAAATCATTCCCGAACAAAAAGTGACTAAAGTGCCACTACACCTAAGGGCAAAAATATAATTTCACAATAAATAAATAAATAAATAATTATTTTTAGGATGGGGTGCTACACTTCTTCTTATAACATCCCTTGATTCTTGTTTCAAGGGACATATGGCTCCTATCCGTGGCCCTGGTTTCCTGATCTTTCTTGTTCATGTCTTGTTTGTGTGCATACTTAATTTCTTTTGCAAATGCTTCATTTCTTGCCTTGTCAACCTCATCTCTTTTCATGTCTCTCTCAATTCTCAGTGTGCCATTAATAGCAATTTGTTCCAAATTTTTTGCACAATCATTATTCGAAGTACTTCCTTTCTTGGCCTTTGTCGCATTCTCCCAATAGGACTCGGCTCCCTTTGGATTGACGAATCTTGATTCATCGGGGAGTCTAACGGCAAATTCGATGCAAGTGAATTGTGGAGCGGCGTCTCATTCAACACAATGGTCGGACCCGTGAGAATAATTTTGAATCTCGAACAATTCTTCATAACATTGGTGATTGTTGAAAGATTTTTTTCCTTGGCCAGTGCCATCGAACCACATTTGCCCTTGCATAATCTGTAATAAAAAAAAACAAATTGGAAATGCAAGAAAATATAAAAATATATGACGTTAAATTTAACAAAACGACACTTACAAAAAATTTACCTCGTTGCCAAGATTTTTGCCGCTTTGAATGTTGTCCCTCGCTTTTGCCAACGCATCTCTCCCTCCAACTTCGATGGAAGATGCTATTTGTATTTTTACACAAATGAAATTTAGTATTAGAAAATTTGGTGTGAAAAGTGAATAATATTGGAAAGAGAATGTTGTACCGTATCTGACCCCTTCACTCACATCATGACACGTGGAAATAGTATGAAGCTAGGGAACACTGCGGGCCACTGATAGATCAGTTATGTATGGATCGGAGTCCACGATTGATTCATCACCCGACATAGCTGTCGCCCTCCCCCTCCCCCTGCGATCGGCAAGAGCTCCTGGAAGCTCCTCGGACATACGATTGGTGCATCGTGCCGATTATAAGGGACAAACTCGAAACCTCCACCCCTCCCACCCCACTTTGATATTTTGCTGAGACTCGTGTCGACCCCAGAAGACACTCCTATGAGTCCCACATCGAAACTAAGTACTAAAAGCATACTAGGCACTCTCTATAAATAGGGCCTCTCGCCCTAGACACAGGGTAAGACTTTCAGCTTGATTCTCATGCTTTAGCGTTTGTCAATAACAAAGCTCTTTCTCAACTTACTTTAGCATCGGAGAGTCTTCGACTTGTACCATACCGGTACTCTAGACCTCATATGTTGTTTCTCCCCTTAGCCCAGGTCTAGCATCGCATCCCAAGGAAGAATGTGCTCACACCGAGGGCACAATCGATCCTTAGACCATCCACGTCACCTGTAAGTTGCTTCTATTTCTATATGTTTAGTTTTAGGGCGAACATAGAAGAATTTGTGTGAAGATTTGGTGCATAAAGTGAATAATATTGGTATGTATTTATATTTTAAAAAAATTAAAATTTAATGGTATTTTTTTTCTTCAATTTTTGTGCTATTGGATGGTAGTGGAACAATGGATCAGACACCTCAAGTGGCTTTTATCCGTTGGTAGAAAGCAGGTGCTAATGAAAAAATCAATTTTTTTTTACCATTGGCGTGCGTGACGAACGTGAATCCCGCGTGCATATCACACACCAACGGTAAAAAAATTTGAATTCGTGCGTTGACGCCATCTTGGCGTCAGCGGTAACGTCACAACCTTAAGGCAGGAGAACAGACCGATTTTACTTTGGGCCTCGCCCGAGTTGGTGAAGCCCAGCTCTTGCCTGGGCAACATTTCGGCACTGAAAACGGGATCAAGGGCCTAGGGATAAATTGGCTGGGAGAGAACGGTGGAAATGCTCTAAAACTTGGGATAAATTGGCTTATGTTTTCAAAACCGCCCCCCTCCTCCCCCACCCACAAAATGTAACGACGACCTGTAACTGAAGTGGCAGCGACGTAATTAGGTGGGAAATGACTGGTCCTTATCGAAAGGAGGCCAACTTTACCAATGACCTTCCCGTTTCTCTCTCCAGACATTTCATCGTTTGGTTGCGTGCGGCTGTCTCTATCTCCTCTTCTCTTCTCTTCCCTCTCTCCCACCAAGAGGTTGAATATAAAGCTGAAACCAACTGAATAGCAACCAACTGAGTAGCAATTTAGCAAAGCTCTTTGGATTCTAGAGATAAATAAACAAGGCAACAACTGAGAAAGAAAGAAAAGACAGCAGAATGGCTCTGAGTTTCAATTCCATGATGACTTTCCCATCTCACAACCTCCTTTCTAAGTCCCACAATCTCAGATCTCCAAAAATCTTCCTGGCCTCTACTCTTCACTCTCCCGCTAAGTGAGTTTCTTTCTTATTGTTTTTTCCATTCATTTGTATCTTCTGTTTCGTTTTTGCACGACTGTATTACGCCCCTTTGCAAAATGCAAATGGGTATCGTCAAGAATGAATTTTTAGCCATTCTGTTGATCTGGGGTTTTTGGTTTTGTGCCAATGCAGTTGAATATGGGGTTAATTTCTTAAATATGCGTTTATTTTTATACTCTTCTAATTATTATTTTTTTCTTTTCCTCATGGTTGTTTTTGAAGTTTGTGCTTTGCCACTCGTTCATTTTTCTTTCAATTCGAGAACTGTCATGTAGTTACTGAAGTCGGTGATTATTCGAATTATGTTACTCTTATGTTTTCTTCTCTCTTCATTTAGCTTTGCATGTTGCGCGATGCTCTATGTAGATGCAGCAATCCACGGGTTTTTATTTTATTTTAAATTTTAGTTGTAAGTTATTTTTGTTTGATTTTTATGCTTAGTGTTCAATTTTTGCTTGTGAAGCATGTACAGTTTACTTATGTCGATGATTAAATCTTATTCCCTTATATTTTTATTTTAAAAAATTCCTTTATTTTAGAGATTTTCTATTTAAACCCCACACTTCTCTTAGTTCATCCCAATTTTTAATTTGAATTTTTACAATTTCTATCTTCCCAAACTGCCCTTGAATTCACCTCAAACTAAAAAAATAAGAACTAAAAGAGATTTTATATTTAAACCCCCACAATTTTCTTAGTTCCTAGCAAAAAAAAACACAAACAAATGAAACCCCAAATTTGAAATTTAATACTTTCTAGAGAAAGAAAACAACTTTACCTCTCCCCAAGAACTGTAACTGAAATTCTAACACTTGGGTCTTGTTGAGTTGAGAACTTGAGAGAGAGAGAGAGAGAGAGAGAGAGAGAGAGAGAGAGTTTGTAAACAGGAAGATGGAAGGAGGTTTCTAAAACTTAATATGAAGAGTGGTGGGTTGTGTATATAGATGTACTAAGGTTAATTATTAAGTTGGATGACCTTTTTTTGTCTTTTTACATAATAATAAAACTTACAGCTTAATGATTTAA